CCCCCCCGCATGTAGCCTCACCTTGGCCAGCCTGGCCCTCTTGATGAGGTCGTTCAGCTTGCGCAGGGCAGCGTTTCGCGGCAGACTCTGGATGTCTCTGAACAGGTCCTGCTCCTCGGCCTCAAAGAGCTTCCGGTTGTCTGGGATGAGAAGGGGGCGGGACCAGAAGGAGCCGATGTAGACCCGGATCACCTCCGGGGTGTTCACGATCTTCCCCAGGGACCACATGAGGGCCCCGTACACCCGCATCAGCTGCTGCGTCTCAATCTGGTCCGCCTTGTTCAGCACCACCCGCATCTTGTCCTCGTGGTTCTTGAGGGCCTTGATGACTTCTGAGAACTCATCAGAGATGTCCAGCTTGTGGGCGTCGAAGAGCAGGATGATGCGATCGACCCGCTCGGCGAACCACTCGAGGACTGCCGCAAAGTCGTACCCTGCGACACAGCAGAGTCAGGGGGCGGGGCCTTTGGGGCGGAGGCAGCTGGTGCAGTAAAAATAACATGGACTCGGGAGGCAGATCTGGATTCAAATCTGGATCCTCCACATTTTCACAATTTGGCCTTCAGCCAGTTACCAAATGTCTGAGTCAGTGTTTTTCCATCTATAAATGGGCATACTAGTAGTATGTAGTTCATAGAATTTTAAGGACTAAAGATGCTCAGAGCCCAGCACCTAGCAGCTGCTCAGTAGATGCTAGTTATTATCATTAACATCCTTATCCCCATAAAACACAGCCACCATCCAGCTCCCCTATCCTTGCTTACTGTATTTAGGAGCCAGGGGCCCTGCTGGAAAAGAAACTCTGGGCATGTATTTTGAATAAAGACCCAGAAATTCTTAACAAGGTCCTATGGTTCAGACCATGCCCATCACTGGTCTGGAAGAAATCTGAGGCTCTTGGCACACAGCTTCTTCTCATGCTGCTCATAAGCTCGCTTCATTCCTTATTCATCAGCTGCAGCCCCCAAATTCCCAACTCTTAAAACCACAAGGGGTTTCTTCCCTAGCGTGGGACAGACCTCTGGCTGTCACACGTTGGTTATCTGGCACTGAGCTGCTTCAGGTCAGGCTGGTTCCAGGAACCCCACAGCACCTGCTCTGCTCAACCCCAAGTAGCAGTGGATCTGGGAGGGCCTGGAGGGGGAGGTCATGCCAGCAGTCTGCACATTCAGCCTCATATTCACTGACCCTTAACAGCTGGAAGCAGCTTCACCTCTCTGTGCCTCAGTCTCCTCTTCCATGAAACAGGACAATACATGGGGAAGTGAGGCTCAGAGAGGGAAAGTGACTTGCTCGAGGGCGCACAGCCCAGACACAGCAGCACTGGGATGAGGGTGGAGGTATTAGGCCTTCTGCTGCTCCCCAGTGCCACACCTCTGGCAGGGAGGTAGGAGCCCTTCCTTAGGCTCTGGTGGGATGGACGACCCCGGATCTCAACATCACAGGCTTTCAGGGGCATAGACCCTGGGGCCCCAAAGCTCATTGCCCCCACTGAGTGGGAGACCCAGCCATCGGGAAAAAGCCGGCAGTTCCTGCCCTGCCTCACAGAGGAAGATCAGAGACCAGGGCAGGTGATTAGGCAGCTGCTTTGCAACTGAGTCAGATGCAAGCAGCTCTGCTCGCCTGGAACGGCGGTCCTCAACTTAAGCGCGCAGCGGAAACCCCCAGAGGGCCTGTTAAAACCCAGATGGCTGGGCCTACCTCAGAGCTTCTGGTTCAGTTCATATCATGACCTCATTTCCCCTTCACACCACCCTCTGAGGCAGGCAGAGTCCCACTTCCCAGAAGAGAATCCTGAGGTTCAGCGATGAGGGGAGAGCCAAACTGCCGGCATGTTGGGGGGTCAGGGTTGGACCCCGCCACGGGGCCCTGGGCGCCCTGCACAGGCCGTGCTGGCAGCGGTCCTGCACCTGTGCCCCTACCCGCCCCGCCTCCCGCTCCCCTCCCTTCCCAGGGCTGGCTCCAGGCTATTTTTAGTCTCCCTCAGCACAGCCAGGTGGAGGGCAGCTCTCACCTTCTGAAGGCAGTCCGTCAGAGCCGTGGGCAGGAGGCGGGGCAGAGGGCTCAGAAAATCAGGGCAAACTCACTCCCGGGCCCCATCCGCCCCAACCGGGAAAACAGGTCACGGCCTGGCTGCTTTGGCGCCTGGAACCTGCAGGCTTGCCCTCAGTTGTAGCTGGGGAGGGCAGGGGGCTCAGAGGCCTCTGGCATTCTGCTGAGACCTGTTTCCAAATCTAGCCGGACAAGGTTTTGGCTGTGGTGGTGCAGACCATGGGGAGGGCAGCTGCGATGCGCCCGCCCTCCCTCCTTCCCTCCCTCCTTCCCTCCCTCCTTCCCTCCCTTCAGAGCCGTGGGCAGGAGGCGGGGCAGAGGGCTCAGAAAATCAGGGCAAACTCACTCCCGGGCCCCATCCGCCCCAACCGGGAAAACAGGTCACGGCCTGGCTGCTTTGGCGCCTGGAACCTGCAGGCTTGCCCTCAGTTGTAGCTGGGGAGGGCAGGGGGCTCAGAGGCCTCTGGCATTCTGCTGAGACCTGTTTCCAAATCTAGCCGGACAAGGTTTTGGCTGTGGTGGTGCAGACCATGGGGAGGGCAGCTGCGATGCGCCCGCCCTCCCTCCTTCCCTCCCTCCTTCCCTCCCTCCTTCCCTCCCTCCTTCCCTCCCTCCCTCCCGTAAAGCAGATTTCAGCCCTCACTGCTCAGCACACCGGCTCACTGCTCACAGGCAGCTGGTGGCAGGACCTCACAGCCGGCCGTGCAGCCACAGCAGCTAGCCCTGGGCACTTAATGACAGGGCTCAAAGCAAGTGGGTGAGATGCGCCCAGGACCAAGCAGAGTGAGGGCCAGGACCAGAACACAGGTCTTCCTGCCCTAAGCCCAGCATTCCAGCCAGCCCTCCACGGGCTGGGGAAAGCGAAGGGGCCAGAGAATCTGCAGAGAAGAGGCTTCTGGCCCCTGAGCTCTCACCAACCCCAGATGGCAGCAGCCATGCAAGAGGAGCCTCAGCTGCAAAAGCTTGGACGGGGGTGGGGCAGATCCCAGCAAGCTGACCAGCCCCCGCTTGGGGTGGGGCAGGAGAGTGACAGCAGCAGGTCAGTGCTGCCGGAATAGGCCTGCCCGTGTCCGTTCCTGTCCTCACGGCTGGCTCAGGTGCCCCTCAGGCAGGCCCTTGCCTCTCTGCTCACCCAGGACTTTATCCTCCCCCCACCGCACAGGGAGCTGGGCGGGGCAGGGGCTGCTCATCCTTCCCAGCTTCCTCTGTGCCCAGCACGGTGCCCCCCACACAGTAGGTGCTCTATCAGCATTTGCTGAACAGACCTGAAATGTGAGCCCTGTTCTGCCTTTTGCATCCCAGGGACAGTGAACAGGTCATCTCTGGGCCTCAGTTTTCTGGTCTCTGAATTGGAACCCACCAGACCCTGCCAGAGGGCGGCTGTGAGGATCCAATCAAAGAGGATGCAGGTGAGACTGCTTGCCTGTGACCCTGGCTGTTCCTATGGCTCTGCCCCTTTATAAAGAGCTCCTTCCAGGCACCAGTTTCCATGACTTGGGTGTGCTCTGAAGGGGTCACCCGAGGAGCACTGGCCCGGGCAAGCCCACCTCTAGTTTCTGCTCAGCTGTTAATTTGCTGTGTGTCCTTGGGCAAGTAGCCTCCCATCTCTGGTCCTTGGTCTCTTGGCCTGTTAATCCACAGAGTTGGACTGGAAGATCTCTGAGTTTCCTTTCTCAGTTCACAATTCCCTGCTTCTAAGACTGAGGGTATGAGGGTGGGGAGTACAGCAGGATGGATGGAGATTAGAAACAAGGAAGCTCTTGCAGGACAAGGGGAAGGAAGGCTGAGGACTGCTGTCTTTAATGCCCTGGGCTGCCTATGTGAAGCCTGCTCCTTCCTGAGAACAGGCAGATGGCTTCTGCGAACCTTTCTAGGATTTCAGAAGCACAGAGGCCTCCTAGTCACCCTCCCACTTTTGCAAATTTTGCATGCTCTGGCAAGGCTGGCTATCCAATTACCAACTGGGTAATGGTGGAAGCTTTCTCCCCAGGTGTGGCTGTGAGGAAATGAGAATCAAGCAATGACTCTGTGGGCTTCCTCTGAAGCTCAGCCTCCCTGATCCTGGCTATTCAGAGCCTAGCAGGCTCCAGGCCGGGTATTTAATTATTTCTGTAGACTGGGCTTATGCGTATCCAAGAATGGGAGCATCTGAAAGGCACAGACGGGACCTATTAAGGAAAAGGGAACGGGTTGGCTCTCCCATTTATTCTCTGTGTGGCCTTAGGCAAGTCTGAACCTCAGTTTTTTCAGCTGAAAATGGGAATAAAAACGACTGACTGATGAGGGGTCAATGGTAGAACCATGGCAACACGATAGCGGAGGGAGGGCCCAGACTCAGTCTGGAGTCTCTGACCTGACGTCAGGGTGATAGGCCCCCTTTCCCTCGCTGGTCCTGGGAACGGCTCTGAGCCCCAAAATAGGAGCTCTTGAGCACCTGCAGCAGCCCAAGGGCTCATAAGATATGGACTAGTGGGTGGTGGGAGATTCAGGCTCCAGGAGACAGATGGCGAAGCTGGCTGTCCTGGAATTGCGGGTAGCAAGTCTGCTGCCTCTGGAAGATCTGGTGCGCAGGCACCTGGAGCAGAGACTGGGCAGCCTGCAGGGCGCTAGGGCTCTCCCCACTGACCCCAGGCTCCAGTGGAATGGAAGGAAAGCACTTCTAAGTAATGCCAGGCAAGAGGATATCAATGAGACAAACACAATAAGTGCGGCAACTCCTTAGTCATCAACCAGCTTCCTTCACAGCCTGAAAGGCAGTGCAGGGGCTTCCCTGGTGGCGCAGTGGTTAGGAATCCACCCGCCAATGCAGGGGACAAGGGTTCAAGCCCTGGTCTGGGAAGATCCCACATGCCGCGGAGCAACTAAGCCCATGCGCCACAACTACTGAGCCTGTGCTCTAGAGCCCGCAAGCCACAACTACTGAGCCCGCATGCCACAACTACTGCAGCCTGTGCACCTAGAGCCCATGCTCTGCAACAAGAGAACCCAGCGCACTGCAACGAAGAGTAGCCCCCGCTCACTGCAACTAGAGAAAGCCCGCATGCAGCAACGAAGACCCAACACAGCCAAAAAAAAAACCCAAAGCTTATTAAAACAAAGAAAGGCAGTGCAAGGGTGCTGACAAGGCAGCACATTTCTTTGTATTTTCAGCCACACGATCTCATTTGATCCTCACAATGCTCCATGTGCCTGGAGGTAAACAGGCACACACAGGGAAGGGAGAGGGAACAGAGAGGTTAAGGGGCTCACCCAAGCGCACACAGCCAGGTGGTGGCAAACTCGGGCCTAGGACCCAGCTCCTTACTTCCATCTGCATTCCCTTCTCGGCTCAGAGCCCTGCAAGGCTGTAGCTCAGGGGGCTGAGCCCTCCAACCAGGCACTTACTTGTGGTGGGTACTTAAAAGGTCCCATCCTGCCCCCCAAAAGCTTTCAAGATATAAAGATATTTTAGCAAAAGAGAAATTAGAAGGCATCAATTTGCAAAATGTGGGAAGAGTTCAGATGACAAAGGCCACACTACTTGCCTCCCAGAAGTAACCTTGAAAAGCAGCCCAACAGACTCATCCCAGGTCTCCCAGATGGCCACAAGTTGTCAGCGCACCCTTTTAAAGGGAGTCGGGACTCTGCTGCTCTGTCCCCGCGTGTGATGCCCCCAGAGCCGTGTATGTACAGCATGTGGTCTGGGGCCCCAGAGGCCCCTAAGTGAGGATGCCGGGGACGGGAGGCTGTGAGGACCAGCCCAGACCCTCCGGGCCCCCCATGGGAAAGTTGTACTTGAGAGTTTGCCCTCATTCCTCTTCTTTGAGTTCTTCCTGGGCAGGCAGGCCGTGATAACGTGCTGAAAAGCCACCGGACGGGGAAGCAGGAGACTAGAATTCCCATCCCAGTTTTGTGACCTGGGCAAGTGTTTTCCTGCTCTGGCCCTCCTGAGTTCACCAGCACAGGAGTGATGTGTGCAACGCGCCATGGGGTTGCTTTTCTCGGGTGGGGCCTGTGGGGATTTCTAGCTGAGAAACAGACAGGAAATGTGGTTGCCAAGTGTGAGGACACTCAGGCTTCCGGAGCCCTCCCACCTCTGCCGCATCCTTGCTTCTTCCCAGTAATGAGTCCTGGGCTGCATCCTGTCACTTCCAGGAACTGCCTCCCTGCCCCTCTCCCGCCCACTCCAATGCATCTACATCCAGAGATAAGTGTGGGCCTGGGACTTCCCGGGCTCAGGTTCCTGGACGTCCCTTGCTTCTGCTCTGCCCCCAAGACACACACAGCCCCCCAGGTCCAGGCAGAGGGGCCACACTTCGTCCAGCTGTGGCCTGGGGCCTGATTGCTCCTTCCCGTGAAGCCTGAGGCCCGGGGAGCCCCCCTGGGAGCAGCTGGCTTTCCAGAATGTGGCACATCAGGCCTCGGCCCAGAGGTGGTTCTGGGTGGATTTGATAACGATGCCCTGGCATCAGGCTCAGTGAGCGGAACGTGGGCTGGATTTCAGGCTTAATACACCCCTCAGTCGGGTGCCCTCCTGCAGGGCTGTCCATGGACTGTCCACGGGGCCCTGCCCGGCCGTGGGCTGGAGGAAAGCAAGAAGCACCAAATCTGCGCTGCGGCCAAACCCAGAGCTCTGAGAGCCCCGGGCGAGAAGCCACGCGAAGTGCATTTGGTTCTGTGCACACACTTGTGTGCATGTGTGGGGAGCGGGGTGTGGAGGGAGGTGTGATGTGTGTAGATGGGGGGGGTGCATATGTGTATAGGTATAAACTGAACTACTGAGTTCTATGGCTGATTGTGAAAGATGAGGAGGGGGTCTTCATACTGGAAACTTTTCTCATTTGGGGTGCCCCTGATATCTGAGGGTGTCTGATCCCTGCCCCCCACCCAACTTTCCTGGTCTCTGTGGAGTGCTGGGGTCAGCACTGCCCCAGGCGGATGATGCAGGACTGGCGGCCCAGCTCTCAGCTCTTGTTTTTATCACAGGCTACTTTTGCCAGCAACTGCATTTAGAGTCTAGAATCAGGAGGGCAGAGAACAAACTGGTCTGCCTAGATACACACAGGGCTATCACTTCTCCCAGAGGTGGGGTGAGACCTGGTGGTAGTCGGTATGGGGTGGGAGGCAATAGGAAGGGTGGGCAAGAAGAACAAGCCCCCAATTTGCTGTAGAGCAGCCACTGAGGTCCAAAGATAAAGTCAGGAGAAAAGGTAGAGGGATAGGAAAGGAATGGAATGGAACAGAAGCTGAGGAAGGCAGGACTCCCTAGGAGCAGGGCTACCACATACAGCTGCATAGGCTGTGCACTGCACAACTGCAAGGAAGGCCATTCATGTAGATTACCCTGGGGTTGTTTAACAGGGTGACCCTGGATGACAGACAAAGAGGAAAGAAGGGAGCTCACTGTGATCCAGACCCAGAGCTGATGTCTGTGTTTCCATTACCATCTGTGGACCTCACGAGGTCATGTGATGGGTATCATTACCCCTTGTTATGCACGGGGACATTAAGGCTCAGGGGAAAAATGTGACCTGGAGACCCACAGGTTCTAAAACCCAATGCTCTAAACTCCCAGTCCAGTGCCCTTGGAATCCCCGAAGGCTGGAATCCTCTCTGGACCCACCTGTCAGGCTGCACTAGCCTTGTGTAGCCACCCACCCCCTGGGTAGTTCAGGCGGAGAATTTTGGCTGCTCTCCAAGCCTTCCTCGAGGAGATACAGGCTGTTTGTGTGAAACAGTAAATCCCCTTTAGGCCTAAACTCAGGATGAACTTGGAGGAAGACTTACGGCATGAGAGTAGAGACTGGTCAGGAGAGAGGGAGTATCTAGGGAAACAAATAGAAACAAGACAGAGAGCCACCCACGCTGCACCCTCCCCCCCGACCATGGGGCCCTGGACAGGGTGCCAGGGTGCTTACAAAGGGCAGGTGGGCCAGAAGGAGATGCTCTTCCCCAAAGAGCCGTGGGTTCTATGTGCCCCTCGCCCTGGCACCACCCCATGCACCTCACCCCAGGCACGTGCAGGAGGAAGCAGACAGGCACCTGAGGTCAGTTCAGGGCAGAGTCCTGGCTGCTGCTGAGAGCTCTTGCCAGTCCAAAGCCTTCCCTTCCCGGAAGCTGCCCTCTGAGTGTCGATCTGGCTCTTGCCCAGCTCCCAGCTCCAGGACTGGGGTGGCTGTGGCTTCATCAGCTTTTCTTCCCAGCAATACGGCATGCGGCACAGAAAGGGTTGGGGGCTACCTGGGGCACACAGCATGGTGTGGCAGGAGAGGCTGGGGGAGGGGAGCTGGGAGCTGTAGTTTCAAGATTTTTACAGTATCCATCTAGTATTTTAGAGCTAGGAAAAAAACAGTGATGATGATGATGATGATCTATAGCACCTCATGTTTACCGGGGACTTGCTATGTGCCAGGTAGGAGGCTTTTTACCTGTATTATTTCTTTTAATCCTCAAACAACCCTAGAAGGTAGATAGAGTTATGTCCCCTACTCTACAGATGAGCCAGCTGAAGGAAAGAAACCTGCCAGGTCACCCTGCCAGGAAGTGTCAGAGGCAGGCTCAGACCACGCTGGTGGTCTGGCTCCTGAGTTCCACCTCCCGACCCGCATGCCGGCAACCTCCCTCAGTGAACAATTACCCACATCTGTCTGGAATGAGCAGTTTTCAAGGGCTTTCACATACCCAGCTCCCGACTCTCACGCCCCAGAGCACACTGTCATCCTCACGCTGTTGGCTGGAGTCCTCTGCAGACACTTGTCTCCCCTGCAGAGCTGCAAGCTCCTGGGGCAGGGACATCAGGAACTTCAGAAGCAAGCCAGTGTCTGGCCCATGAAGAAACCCAATGAGGTGCATAATGCAGACACTGATGTCTCCATTTCACAGATGAGAAGACCAAGGCCAGCTGTCTGCTGAGCTGCAGTGGACCCAAACCCATCTGCTGACCCTTGCCTAGGATGACCCCACACAGCACACGAGGCAGCAGTGCTCATCAAGAGACAGCAAGGCCCCGGGAGCCTCTCTCCTGGCATGGAAGCCAGAGAACGTACCAGAAAGAACACAGCACAGAGCCAGAGCCAACCCTACCAGCTGCCTCACTTACCCCGGCTGATCCTCTGCTTCTCCCCGGAGAGGATGCCCGGCGTGTCGATGACGCTGATGCTCTCCAGCACGGGGTTGGGCAGCTGAGCGCACACGAACCTGCAGGGGTGGGAGGAGACCTGTGGTGAGCCGCCGTCCTGTCCTTGCCTCTCAGGCACCCTCGTTTCAGCCCCACGCCAACCTCCGCTGCCCCGGGCAGAGGTTCTGAAGCCCGGCCGCCTTCCAGTGCAGACTCCCAGCCCCAAGCTAGACTCAGCCCCAGTAGCGGGCCCAGGATATGTACTTCGAGGAAGCTGCTGGGGTGGTCCTAAGGCAGCTGTGGGCCTACGTTTGTGAGCCCCTGCTGTCGGGGACACCAGGATGTCCAGCCCTCGATCCCTGCCCCCCATGAGCACAGTCTGGTGGAAGAGCAGAGGCATGCATAAAGACAACCACGATATGTGTGCCATGGGAGCAGCGCCCCCAAGGGAGGTCAAGTGAAGGGCTCGGGAGATCCAAGGTGGAAGGAAGCCTTCCTGGAGGAGGCGGCACTGCAGCTGGCCTTGAAGAGTGGGGCACACCACCCAGGAACATTTATCTGGGCTTCTAAAAGGCTGTGCAAATACCAAACATTGCTAGTAGGATAGCAGTCAAGCCTTATTCAAGGAAATAGTCCCAGTATCACATCCCGAAGTCTCCAAATACAAATTGGTAAACCTAAGCTAGATCCTTCTGACTTCAAGCCTTCTCTCTTAAATGCCATTTTTGGTGGAAGCCAGCAAGGTGTCTGACCATCACAGGTACAGTTCACGGTCCCGTAGTCTCCAAGAACAGACAGGGAAGGGAGCCTCTGCTACCCAGTGAGGTGGCTGCAGAGATGCAGGTTAGCGGAGGAGGCTAGGGATGCACGGGAAAGAGGGTCCAGGAAGCTTCTCAGAGGACGCAGAACCTGAACTGAGACCTCAGAAGATGGCCAGCATTTGCCAGGTGGACAGGGGTGTGGGCAGGAAGCCAGTGTACATGCGTGTGTGTGTGTAGCTACATGAAGATACAGACATGCACAGAGGGGAGATTGGAATTATTGGAATTATGCTGCCACAAGCAAAATGCCTGGAATAACCAGAAGCTGGAGGAAGCAAGGAAAGATCCTCCTCTACAGGCTTTGGAGGGAGCATGGCCCTGCCAACACCTTGATTTTGAACTTCTGGCATCCAAACTATGAGTCAGTAGTTATTTTTTAATTTTTTTTGCGATACGCAGGCCTCTCACTGTTGTGGCCTCTCCCGTTGCGGAGCACAGGCTCCGGACGCGCAGGCTCAGCGACCATGGCTCACGGGCCCAGCCGCTCCACGGCATGTGGGATCTTCCCGGACCGGGCCCCGAACCCGTGTCCCCTGCATCGGCAGGCGGACTCTCAACCACTGCGCCACCAGGGAAGCCCAAGTCAGTAGTTATTTTAATGCCACTCTGTTCGCGGTAATTTATTCTGGCAGCCCTAGGAAACTAATAGAAGCAGGTGTAAATGCAGCCCAGAAATGAGGGGCGGGGAGAGAAAGAGGGGGGGGGAGAGAAAAAGAGGGGGTGAGGGAGTGTGTGTGTGTGTGTGTGTGTGTGTGTGTGTGTGTGTGTGTGTTTGTACGTGCAGGCACCATTCCAGGAGAGCGCTCATCACTGGGCGAGAACCAGAAGGCTGGAGCCCCTAGAGATGTGGCCAAGACAGGGAGGCAGGGCCCGGATCACAAGGGCCTTGAAGGCCACATTAAGAGACGTGGACTTTATACTGAGGGCGGTAAAAATCCATTGGAACATTTTAAGCACTAGAGTGACACAGTCTGATATGATGGTTGTCAGCATGTCCAGTTCAGTTCAACAAATATTTATGAAGCATGTGCTGTGTTTCTGGCACTGCGCTAGATAGCAGGGGCAGAAAAGTCCATGGCACAGCCCTCGCCCTACCGAAGCCCATGGCTTTCATTGTGCCTGGGGCCCAGCCACATTCTGGTCCTTAGGTTCTAAGGCACACCCCAGTATTCCTCAATACATTCCACGTTTTGCTGAAGCCACCTTGAGCGGGGCTGCTGTCACTTGGTGACCAGAAGGTCGTGTACATGGGGCTGGTGTTTGAGGTATCACCCAGGCTGGGTGCAATGGAATGAGAAGGGCAGGGGCCTGAGGATGACACCAGGTCATAGGAGCCAGAGACCAAGGGGACCAGGGTCTGCTAGGGAGGCAGGAGGAGGGCCAAGGAGCTGAGAGGGGCTGGTGGTTGAGAGAAACCAATACCCAAGAGAGATGGGGTAAGGTGAGGACGGAAAGTGCTCACCGCTTGTCACTGAGAGGTCGCAGATCACCTTCACATGGGCAGCTGTGACGGGGTGAAGCCATGTTCCACAGGTTGGGGGACAGGGAGAAGTGAGGAGGTGAAGCCCTGAAACTTGGCTGCGACAGGAAAGCGAGGGGGTAAGGGCTAGTAGGGCCTGCTGCAGGGCTTGCAAGAGGAGATAGATAGTTCCAGGCGGGGAAGGAGCCACGGGAGAGGGGGAGCTGTCAGAAAGAGTAACTGACAGAGCCGTCCCTGGGCAGATGGCCGGATGCACGGGTCGGGGGCAGGGGCGCAGACCTGAGGGGAAAAGAGAGGACTCAGCTCTCTGCAGCCTGAGTGGACGGCAGGGGCGGGGTGGGCGGGATGGGACTGATGCAAATGAACTCCCTTTACGGACAGTTTAAAACAAACCAACTACAGGGAATCCATGGATACGGGCTTCCATCTTCTCTAGAATAGGAAGCAAGGTCATCTGCCGAGAGAGGAGCCTGAGGTCTCTGGAGAAGGCTTGGAACACCCACAGAGAAGGGGAGGGGAGATGTCAAGGGCCGCGAAATGGGATCACGGGGCAGCAGGCGTCCGGGGTGTAGCCTCCCTGTGTACGTGCAGTTGCAGTGAGGCTGGTGGCACATGGAGGGCCCCCTCCCACCCCACCGCCGCCCCAATCCTGTTATCCCTCCAATGGGTGTGCCTGACAGATCCCCGGCCAACAGTTAATCTACACATCTGTCACCCAGCTGTGGCACACTCCTGTAGAGAAGCACGAACCTTATGGTGCCGTCTACGTATGCAGTGCTATCTATGTATGTTGTAGTGTTCCTGCATTAAGCCACATTCTTTCAGTCCTCTGTGTGTATGTGTTTGTGTGTATATATATATTTTTTCAGTTTTCTCTGCCTGGAATGTCCTTTTTTTTTTTTTTTTTTTTTTAACCCTCTCAGTGTGATTTCACTCATGATTGAACATCTGGTTCAAATGCCAACTTTTCCGCAAAGTCCTCTTGCCTTGGAGGAGGACATTACTATTATCCTATTTTACAGATGAGAAAAGTGAGACACAGACCAGTCAGGTAACCTGTCTAAGATCGTGGTGCTATTTGCTAGGATTTGAACCCAAGTCGGTCTGAAGCCAAAGCCTATAGTCTTTACCTTTACTCTAAATGCCTTCAGTTAGAGAAAGTAGTTTAAAAAATTTTAAATGCGATACAGATGCAAAATTGTGGTGTGGATCGACATAACAAGCGTGATCAGGGGATCAGCCTGCATTCTAGAATAGTGGGAAGGCCTGGGTCAGCTTGCCAAGCAGTCTCTAGAGCTTCCTCCACTCAAATTGGCCCAATGGCCCTGGTGTCTGCAGGCTGACTTGTCCCAGGGGAGGTGACTTGTCCAAGGTCACAGAGTGAGTTTAGTAGGAGGGTCAGTGCTCAAAGCCAGGGCTTCTACCTTACGTCCAGGGTTCCTGCCACCAAGTAAAAACAATATCTAGGAACAGAGAGGAACCTTCCTTTGCCTCCTGTCAGTTGGATGCAAAGCCCTTCCGTAGTTTAGGCAAAAGCTGGGAACTACACAGAGTAGCCCTCTCTGCTTTTACTGGAGGGAGGTACACATTAGAGAAATGTGATTTAACTAGTTGAACCCTTCCCCCAACTTGATCGGGAGAAATCAGCTCAGTGTTTGCAGCTCCTGCATCCCTAATCAATGGTGGTTTCATTCCCAGCAAGAAGGGGACAATCAAGAGAGATTCCAGGTCTGGAAAAGGTACAGAGTTTCCCAAGACCCTGCCCTGCCCTTTCACCTCTCATACTCCAAGAAAAGAGAGCTCCCAAGGCCTGTGTGTGTTCCCTCTGCACTCACCTGTTCAAGAAGGCATTGCCAAAGGCGTTCAGTTTCCTGAAAGGTTTCTTAGGATCCACCACCAGGGCATTCCCGGGGATAATGCCCTCCATCTCTCCCTGCATCACCGCAATGAAGGAGTCCGTGGTCGGCTCGGGCCCAATCCTCATGCCTGGGAAATCCTGTTCCAGCAGGTACCTGGCAGAAGGGAACACAGTCATGATGCAGGGATTCTATTCACAGATCAACACCGCATGCCTACCACAAGGCAGACGGTGTGAGTCATGGCAGAGGGGCAGATCCAGAGCAAGGAGATTTCACAGCAGGGAGAGATTTTCACCGACGGGGAACCCAAAGACCTTTGGGAGGAGGTGGGATTTCAGTTGCACTTAAAATAACAAATCTGTCCTTCTCAGTCCTTATCTTTTTCCCTCCATGAAACATTGCCGGGGGTGTGGGGCAGGGGGCACGGGGAAGAGCAAGGTTTGGGCTCAGAAATAAAGCATGGCTGGCTTGAAACTGATTCCCACACAGAATATTGCAGACTTCACAGCTGTAGGGAGTCTGCCAAAGTCCCTGCACACAGGCTTGGTTAGAATTAGATCACCCATAGGCTCTGCCGGCCATCCATAGGTCCTTATTTATTTATCAGCTTAGTCGGTCATTTAATGTAAAAATAACTCATACATAATACAAACTGTGTGACAGGAACACTATGACAAGTGCACGTCCATCCCGCCCTAGACTTTTGGTCCCACCCTCTAGCACAGGTACCAGGCTGTGGCCCCAGCGGACAGGCACCTCTCTTTGCCTCAGGCCTGGGCAGTGAGAGCCCAAGGCCACTGCCCTTCTCCACAGCTCCCTTTAGAACACATGGTGAGCCACGGAATGAAGGGAACAGGCTGGAAAGACAACCAGGCCCTTTGGAAGGAGCTCAGAACAGCTTTGAGCCCAAACAGCTTAAGGCTGGACTGCGGGTGAAGGAGTCCAGAACTGCCCTGGGTTGGGACTGGCCAGAGAAGAGTCCCAGGGGCCATGATGAACAAAAGCTAAGGGGTGTGTTGCCCAAAAAACACAGACCCTTGGGTGAGCCCTCACCGTGTGCCAAGACCCTCCCCCCCTAAACCTTGCGGGCCAATGTTCACGCTCAGAGGGAAAAGTCAAGGAGCCCTCAGGAGAAGAGATGGCAAGTCAGAGGCTGCTGGCTGGGGAGAGAGCCTGAGACCTCCAGGACCAGCGGTCCTCAGCTGGCTGCCCATGGAGCAACCGTGGAGCTCCAGCTGCCGGTGCCGGGGCCCAGCCCAGAGGTTGTGACCCGCCGGCTCAGGGCAGGGTCCTGGCGACCGGTCCTTTTTAGGAGCTCCCCAGTTGATTCTGATGTGCAGCCGGGGTTGACAACCTGCTCTAGACCCTGTCGTTATGCTGATAACACAACTGACACTCAGTAGCATGTCCATGCCATACATCGCACTCATCACTTTGAGAACGTATCTCTTTCTGGCTTCACCGCACCCCTATAGGCAGGTACATTAGGGCTCTGCATATCCGCGGGTTCCACATCGGAGGATACAACCAACAACCGCGGAGGACCCGTGGTTGAATCCAAGAATGTGGAACCCTCGGATCCGGAGGGCCGTCTGTACTGTGCCATTTTACATAAGGGACTTGAGCATCTGCGTGGGAGGTGGGGTCCTCGAACCAAGGTCCCGCGGAAACTACCAAGGGACGGCTGTACTGAGGACACCCAGGCTTTGAAGGGTTTCCTCAGTACAGCCGTCCTATTAGCTCACTATTAATTCTTTAACGTGATGGAGCTGGAATCCAAACCCTTATCAATCTAACACCAAATCCTTTGCTCTTCAACTGTCTTCTACCCCGAGGAAATGCTCTCTGCCCACCCTGTGCCACCCCAAGGTGGGTCGGCTCTGCCCAGCGAGTGGCAGCCAGGGGCACTGGCTGGGGTTTCTTCCGGCTCATCGACATCCCTTTGTGTCCTGAGCTGTTAGTTTACTCCGTGCTTCCAGGGCAGTTCAAGTCGGGTTGCCACGGGCTCCCTCCCCAAGCATCTGGCGGGGGAGCTGCTGTGGAGGGGCAGCTGCCCAGGGCCACCCCGCCTGCACCGGGGGGTTTAGGTTGCCTTGGGAAGCCCCCCATCTCCCTCCAGGATCCCAGCCCCACATTCTGGGTGTGAAGACAGGATTTCCTCCCATCAGAGGGCCATTGTGAAAGCTGGATTGTGATGAGGATAAATCACCACAGCTGCGCCTGGACGACACCTCATGCTTTTCTCAGACGCTACTTCTTCAGGGTTTCGGGCGAGAGACAGGGACCCTCAGGGCCTGGGGCCAGCAGACCTGGCTTCTCTAACCTTCAGAAGGTTCTCGACCTCTGCAAACCTCAACACTTTCCTCTGTAACATGGGAGATCACTGCTGTGATTCACTAAGCACCTGTGATGTGCCAGGTACATCTAGACTTCTTTCCATGAACCGTCTCGTTTCATGTCACGTTTCTGCTGATGTGAGCATTGTGACCCTTATCGTCAAATGGGCCTCATGGGTAAACCCACCTCATTGGGTGTTCTGAGAGTTAAATAAGTTACAGACCTTAAGCACATAAACCAGTACCTAGAACCTAGATCATCATCCCATTTTACAGAAAGGAAGATAAAGGTTAAACTATTTGCTGCAGGTTATGCAGTCAGTAAATAGCAGAGCTAGGATTTGAATCTAACACTCACGCTCCTAACCACTACATTCACTGTCTCCCTTCCTGCCTGACGTATCTCCTTGACCAGGAAATGCCAAAGGGCTGAGCACCCCCTTGGGACTAGAAGGAGGAGTGGGACAAGAAGGCCACAGAAGAATCTGGTTTGGCAGGAGGCCGGCCAGGGCCAGGCCTTGGGGGAAAGGTTAGGCTTCAGGGCCCACAAACCCAGGAACTACTCATCTCCATAAACATCTGCCCTTGGGCTTCACACTTCGGCCTCAGTGGGTGGGACGTGGCAGCAAAAGCTGTTGCTATCAGGTGACCCAAGCAGGCGCCAGGCCCACTGGATCTAAAAGGATATTCTTGGGACTTGAAGCAGTTTCATGAGAATCAACACCGCGATCTGGAAACCCCATCCATGCTTGCCCATGTGCAGGGAGCACCTGTCCCAGTGGGCGCTTGGGTGAGAAGCCCCAAGCAGGGGGTGTGGCATGGGCGAATTCTGAGGCAGAAGGAGGGTGGTGGATATCATCAAAGGCTTCAGAGACAGCTGAAATAGACAGGGGTGGAAGCAAACAGTCTGAGGCACCCTTGAAAATGCCCAGCCTGAACAGGGCCAAGCAGCAGCGGGAAAGTACCTTCCTGACCCAGGTGTCTCAGATTTCATCCCTGAGACGCACTGTGCTGGCAGGCAAGGGGTGATGCGCCCCAGCATAGCGGGGGCCGCTTCCTGGGATGTCCTGGAGCTGCAGCCTCAGGCGGCCCAGCCAGGGCCTGGTGGCTGGAACTGCTGTCCTGCCTCCTCGGCTAAACCCACATGACCCCAGATTTGCCGACCACACATGAGTCTGGAGAAATACAGAGTCCAGTGAAGCCAAGAGCAAGTCCAGGGATGCAGTCAGGCCAAGCAGAGAACCCAGGGCTGGGTAAATTCTCAGGGACATTTGGGTATGGCCTGCAGCCCCAAGTGCCCCCTTAACAAAGCCACCACTGTGTCCAGAAAGGAAAACCTATTGAGGAATATCATGGCTGCTTCTCTATGGGGAGTGATACAGATGGCCCTGTTGCCAGGCAAAAACATTCTCAAGGCAGTGTAAAAAAAGAAAAGTTAATTCAAGCCTGGGTGAGAGCAGCTGAGATGGGGAAGCAAGAGAATAAAGAGGGGCTGATAGGCTGAGCACCTGCTGTAAGGCAGGTGCTGTTCTGCGACCTTTCCCTGAATTATTCCACTTAATCGGTCCTAGAAGCACTGTGGGGTGGCTGAATTATTTCAGTTTTGCAGGTGAACAAGTCGAGTTGGAGGCTACCCGAGTTCAGGGCCAAATAAAAATATTTAGAGGCCCAAAGAGCTGAAAAGTTTTGGGTCCCCCTTCCTTGCTATCCAATGTAAAGTAAATACTAAACCGTAAAATGGGTATAGGGAAGTCCAGCGCAATTCAGATTTTACCCATGAGGCCTACTTTTGTTCCTATTTTTCTTAAGCAAACTCTCTCCTAACATTTCCCTCATCTTTTGGTGTCCTGCTTGGCTGGCAATCTAAGCATGTGGCTTGCATTACTGGTGACCTAAGCACCCAGGGTAAGGCGTAGAGCCAAGAATCTTAACCCAGTCTCCAGGGTACCCATCTCTGCAATAGCGGGACCAAACCTCCCCTCTGCTGGGGCAGCATCCAGGGCGAGGAACAGAGGGCCCAGGGCCACAGGAAGTGCCACCAGAGGCCTTGGGCTGGCTGGGCCCTCTGCCTTGGCTCAGTTAGGGAATGCGCCTTGGTAGGTGTCTGCTTCATCACAGATATGACCTTGGACAAGTCCCTCAAGAGCCCACTGCCTCAGTTTCCCCATTTTATAAAGCGGGGCTAATCCTGGGTTTCTAATTACCTCAGAGGGTTAGAGTGAAGGATTTGAGATGACATACATGAGTTTGGGAAAAGCAAAGGCTACACCAGACATGCGCCCACATTGGCAGAGACAATAATTAGAGAAAACAAACGTCTCATCACTGCCTGTAAGAACTCAGCGCATTTCTACCTGGACTCCCAATCCAGGGCCCTCGCCGCCTCTGTGAAAATCCACATAGCTCTTAATTTGCATATCTTCAGGTAGACGCAGAAGACGCGTATCACTTTCTGCCTGTGTTACAGGTACTCGTGTTATATATCTGTATCTTGGTTTGTTTTGTTTCTGTTTTTGTTTTTGGCCGCACCATGTGGTGTGTGGGATCTTAGTTCCCTGATCAGCGATCGAACCCGTGCCCCCTGCGGTGGAAGCGAGGAGTCCTAACCACTGGACCACCAGGGAATTCCCGTATATATCTGTATCTTTGATCTCTCTAAGCCTTACTTCAGCTTTAAAATGGGGTCAAGGCAATAATGCTTGTCCTGGCAGCCTCTCGGGGTTCCGGGGATACCGTAAGTCACTCCACGGACACAAAGTGAGGTAGGAGATGGGGGACTCAATGGCTGAGTTGAGGTGTGAGTCAGCTCTGTGCTCCACGGAGCAGTCACCACTGCCCCTGGGGTGCAGCAGCCTCCACCAGGGATCAAAGTGACCCCAGCACAAAGGAGACCAGTGGCGAGACTGTCAAGCCTCCCACTAGCCTTGCCTTGTCTGCCCACCCCTGCGACAGGCTGGCCTGAGTGACCCTATGAGGTGTCACTATTCGCATGTTAGAGACAAGGACACTGAGGTTCAGAAAGGTTAGACCTTCCAAACATGGTCTCTTGGCTGGGAACTGGTGGAGCCTGGGTTCTGCCGAGCCGCCCGTGTTCTTTCCGTGGCTGCGTTCTGCTGTCAGTGGGAGTTGGATGGAGCCCTTCCCCAGAGGTCCTTCTCCCAATGGCCTCCACACCTGATTCTCAAGGCAGATCTTAAGCCGGACCTCAGGCAGGTGGACCCAGTGCCTCTGCCCTAGGCCCTCTGCTCCCTTGAGTAACACCCAAGCCTTGTAAGAGGCAGGTGGATTTCCACCTAGTCCCACTCAAGGACCAGCAGATCAGAGCCCTGGCAGGAAAAGGACATCCATGGACCTCGGAGTGGGGACAGGAGTGAGGACTTGCAGGGGCTGTGGCTGGCAGGATGGGCCTGGCAGAGGTCAGTGGGCCTACCTGGAATGGAAGGATGGCCCCTTCTCTAGCCCTTCAGCTTTCCAGAGAATTGTCTTTCCTGGGTGGTGATGCTGGGCAGCAGAGATGCCAGGGAGATGATGGGAGAGGGTACAACCACAGGCAAATGCTGCGTCACCTTGGGGGGAGGATGCAGAGAGCCCCCTGAAAAAGTGGGGGAGGTCGAAAGGGCTGGCTGAGCAGCCCCCACCACTGGCCCACCCCACCACGTGCTCATTCATAGTTTAGAGTCCGGGTCACGCTATAGAGGAGCCACAGGTGATCCTCAAGACCAGCTCCGACCTCCCTGTGGACAGCCAGGCAGCTTAGCTCCAGCAGCCCTGGGCCCCATACCCAGTGCCCCCGGCCCTCTACTCCAGTGCCGCCGCAGCCCAGCGAGGCCTCCCTGCGGCCCCTGAGATGCTGGGGACACTGGGCCTTCCAGTCCCTGGGGCAGCCAGTTATTCACCTCCATGACCAGGGGCCCAAACGGTGAGAGAGAGGAGGGACTTGAGGCTTCAGGCCAGAAGGAGGAAGAGTGAAGGGAGAAAAACAGCAGAGGAGGGAGGGAAGGCTGTCAGGCCAGAAGGACACAGAGCTACTGTACTTGGAAGAGGCAGCCTGTGTTGAAGGAAGCATCCACCAGGCCAATTTATTGTTTATTACCCTGGGTTGCCGGGCCTTAGGCCAGGGAAGTTATTTCAGGCAGAGGTCATAGCACATTAATTAGTTGTTAGAAGAATGTCCTTTTCTGTATGTTCTTCCTGAGACAAGAAATAGACCCTGAGGCAAGTACATATAACTGAAAGTGGATGGACACGCAGGTGGCAAAAGGCCAAGAGCTGGGGAATGAAGAGGCAAGTCTGCTTCCGAGGGAACGGTCCCTCACAGGTTCAGGCCGGAACACAGACCTGAACTGCTGTGTTCAAGGCAAGAAGCAGGGATGGGAGAGGGCGTAGCTGCGAAGGCAGGCTGTACTCTGCACCCAGGCGCATTTAGCTACCCCAAGGGGAACTTTCTTTGCTTTGGGGGAGGGGTGTTGTACCAGCCTACCCTCTTGGGAAGCAACTCAAAAATATGACTCTTAATCCCAAGATTAAAAAGTAAGAAAATGTTAAAACAAAACAAAACAAAACAAAAAAACAACCCCAGAACTCTGTACAACCTTTGGCCTAGCGATTTCACTTCTGGGAATCTCTGAGAAAACAGTCTAATATGTGGAAAAATATTATGCACAGAGATATTCAGAGTGATTCTACAACAGCAAAAAATAAAATTAGAAAGAACTTCAAACATTCAAAAGAAGTAGATTGGTTAAATGAATAACTGCATATACATGCAGTGAAATATCATGTGGCTCTTAAAAATAATGCTTACAAAGATTTTTTTAATTTACCCGGGAAATGCTCATGCTATGAGTGAAATAAATCCACATACAAAATTACATTATGGCATGATCTCAACTGTGTTATAAAATAGCTAAAAATACTGGTGGATATATATATATATATATATATATATATATATTTTTTTTTTTTTTTTTTTTTTTTTTTTTTGCGGTACGCGGGCCCCTCACTGTTGCGGCCTCTCCCGTTGCGGAGCACGGGCTCCGGATGCGCAGGCCCAGCGGCCATGGCTGACGGGCCCAGCCGCTCCGCAGCATGTGGGATCCTCCCGGACCGGGGCACGAACCCGCATCCCCTGCATCAGCAGGCGGACTCTCAACCACTGCGCCACCAGGGAAGCCCTACATATATAATATTTAAAATGGTTTCCCGAGTCGTGGGATGATGGGGCACTTTTTTCTTCTTCCTCAAATTTATTCTTGTTTGCATTTTCCAATTTTAAAAAATAGCTGTTCGGTGGATTTAATGAGAAGAAAGGAAAATATGTAATTTGGTTTTGGAGGGCTTCCCTGTGCCGCAGCCCCTCCTCCCCTGCTGGTAATCTCTCCCTCAAAGGGAGACAGCCTTGGATGCACGAGCTAAATTCAGTTACTGACATGAGTGGGGAGGGAGAACTCTTGTACTTGGAGGATAAGAGAGAGGAGGGATCTGCCTCTCCTGGCCTTCCTGTCTCCTTCAGATAAGGAGTAATCTATGGCAACTTGGCTCTGCCACTTTCTTAGACCCAGTTAACAGCGAGCATGACTCAGGCAAAGCCAGGACAGTGTCTCAGACAAGAGGCACATCTGCTGCTCCAGGATCCTGCCCTCAGGGACGCTAGCTTCTCCCCATCTCCCCTCGCATTCTGCAAACCTCTACTGGGAGCTCCTGTAGCTGAGACCCCAGGCAAGGCCCCAGGGAGCTAAGGCACAGTAGTAAGTGCTGGGCTACAGGAAGGAGAAGCTCTAAATAACGTACTAAGAATTATAACCAAGGTGTGTCCAGAGGGCTGCAGAAGGCTGTGCAAGGGCAGGAGCCACCTGTAAAAGGCCTGTGCTTCCCATGGGGCATAAACCGGGCCGGGTGGAGGATGCGTGTTACAAAGGAAACCGTGAACAGAACCCAGGTAGCTCTGAAGTGCCTTTGGCAGCAATGGGTGTTTAACAAAATAAGGGAGATGGATTAGATCAGGGATTCTTGCCCTAAGGGCCAAGGCAGCCCTTGAACCCCCCAAATTATATGTAAATTTGGGATGTATGTGCATTTTTCTAAAGATGGGTCCACATATTTCATCAGATTTTCAAAGGAGGTACTGACCTTTTGAAAAGTTAAGAAGCAAAGAATTAGATTCATCATTAAGGGCCCTTGTAGTTCTAACAATATAAGATATCCAAAAGCCAACATTCCCCCTGGGTACCCAACTTCAGAAATCACTCAGCCTCTCAAAGCTGCTGAGTCCAAGGCTGTCCACCCCACAAGGAAAAACTCATCTGGTGTTCCATTCATACATGACATGTTAGTATGCTACATGCCCTGCTTCCAAAAGGCTTGTGTTAAAAGCTTTGAGCTGGAGAAAATTTGAATCTAGAAAATCAGGAACCAGACTGTGAACTTTTCTGCTTTCCTCGCCAAACAAAGCACAGTGTTTTGCATGTTGCAGGTGCTTGGTCAATGAATGGAAACAAGAGCACCCCTGCTTTGACACCTTCCACAGGAGATGAGCACCATTGACTCTGGGGGCGGTGGACACAGAACACATCACCACTCTGTATGAGCCTGACTCTCAACACAGAGGGCCATGAGCACCCTCAACAGCTTGCAGGACTGTGAATGAGGCCAAGGAAGATGGCCTGGCCTTGAAGGCTGTGCGGACTGAGGACTGGAGAGAAGCCTGTCTTCTAAAGATAGGAAAGGTCCTATCACTCTGGTGGACAATATATGGACCTCTCTGAACGCAGGGTGGACAAGCTGACTTCCTGGGGATCCCTCCAGCCCAGGGATTCTGTAATTCAAGGGGATGGATGACTCACCCTCAGAGTTACAGGCATTTAGCCAACCATCTCCTCCCATGCATCCAGGACCTGCATCCCAGGTCAGCCTCCCACCCTGTTATACGGCTTTGAACAATGTATTTAACCTCTCTATGCTTCAGTTACCTCACCTGCCAAGTCAAGGGGCTGAATGAGACCATGGCCAATATCCCTTCCACCTCCAGAAGACTTTAATATGATTACTGAGCCATTAAGATCAACGGAAAAGAAAAAAGCATTCTGCTTCTGGACACTGCTTGTCGCCAGTCTCCAAAAGATTATCTGTAGGAGCTCTGCTCAGTGAAGGAAACAAATAAAAGAAGGACAAGTGGAACTACCAGACAGAGGGCCACAGGCTCCCAAGCCCACCTCCTCAGCTGTAACTGTAAAGACCTCATATGAGTGGCTGAAGCCTTTAGAAGGCAAGGGAAGTGGTCCTGCCCATCAAGGGTATGTCCCTACAAGGAGAGGGGGTAAGACAACCCCACCAGCCTAAGGTACTCTTGCGACCAGGAGCTTTCTCACTTGGGCTTCCTGGGTTTCAGTTTTACCATCCATAAAATGGGAAGAATAGGGATGGCTCTGAATTTTAACACTTCAAACTGACCACCAAAGCCAAGGGCTAAGTGCAATGGAGAGGCACTAGGTAGGATAGAGCAGGGGACCATCCAATGCAATTGTGGGGTAAGCTTTGGATACCCGCACATAAGGATTTCTTCAGAGCCTTCTAATGAAGACTTCCCACTTGTCTCCACGCAGGAGGGGACATCGGGAGTGAGCGCAGGGCCTAAGCGCTGGGCGGCTGGGTGGGCTGCGGGGGCCCTGGCCGGCTCACCTGATGAAGGTGGTCTTCCCGGTGGAGTACTGGCCCACCAGCAGGACCATGGGCTTGTTGTCGAAATCAGCATCCTCCAGGGCGGGGGAGTGAAACTCGTGGAAGCGGTAGTGCTCTTCCAGGGGCAGCAGCTTGGTCCTGTAGAGTTTCTTGAGACCCTCGCTCACCGTCTGGAAGACCTCGGGGTCCTTCCTGCGGCGGTCATCGGAACGCAGCCAGCTGAACATCGCGGCCACCGCTCGCCCTCTCGAGCCCGGTGCGCAGTCCCAGCAGGAGGGCGCGGAGTCCGGCGAACCCCGTTCCTTGGGGAAGGCGTCCTGCAGGGCGGGTCCGCCGGGCTCCCAGCTGCGCCGCCGCCTCACCGGAGCGCGGGGCTCAGCCACACCATGGCCGGGGCGCAGGGCTCGGGGCTCCCTGGGGCGACTGCGCGGGGCCGCGAACGCGCTCTTCCCCTGCTCCTGGGACCAAGCCCAGGCCCGGCTTCATCCAGCAACCAAGGCCGAAGGGAGATAAAATATCTGGGCTGGGCGGGAGGGCTGCGATCTTGGGGAAAAAGTCAAACCTGCAATTAAAATGTCAGATGCCGGGGTCCCCGGTCTCCCCCAGCTCTCTCCCGCTTTGGCTCGGGTGCAGTTTAGGGATGCTTTGGCTCTGCGCCCGCCCGCCTGGGAGGCTCAGGGGCGGAGGGGGCGCTCCCCAGCCAGCGGACAGATCAGCATCTGCAGCCGCAGCCCGCAGCCCGAGGCGCCTGTTTTAATGCCAGCCGTGCAGGAAGCCGGCTCGCGGAGGAAGTCCCCGAGTACTGGCAAGGCTGGCGTGGCCCTGCGGCCCCGGCGGGGAGAAGCTGAGCAGGGCGCCGCCATGTTTATGGGCAGTCGCCCCACCAGGGACCCGCGACCGCTTACTGCCTGGAAAGGGAGGGATGCTGAGCCCGGTGGGAACGGTCTGGTATTTCATTCCCGGCCACTGGAGGTTTGATTTGGGAACAGCGCCCTCTCAGGGACAGCTGCGAAGACAGAGGTGACCTGCTTCACGTTCTCCCTTCTCTTAGATAGAGTCTTTTCCTTTAGTTGCTGAGTTCAATTCCTTAGGATGACAGGTTCTCTCTTACTTGGGAATATCTTTCTTGGGGCATGGAAAGGAGAGCCCAATATCAGCCTGCCCCGAATGACCAAAACTGTCAGTACCCAAACTTTCTGCTAGGTCTAGGAAGAAGTCAAAACCCTTTTCATTCATTCATTCATTCATTTGTTCATCCCGTCCAGTAAAACCAAACAAAACAAGCAGAACCTCCACAAGTATTGAACCGGTATTATGGCACAGTTTTGGTGACTGTGGTTACAAACTTGATCACCAAGATGAGCACATATAGTCCCTCCCTTCCAGGAGCTCCAGCCCAGGCCGGCCTCAAAGAGGAGATAGGAGCAGAGGGCCCTGGGTGCACAGCGGGAGGAGGCATCCTTTTTGCCTGGATAATATGAGCAAGATGTCACCGAAAGCATGACTGTGAGCTGGATCTTCAATGACGAATCTACAGAGAAGAAGGAGGACATTCCAAGCTGAGTAAAGGGCACTTGCAAAGGCTGGGGAACATGGAAAAACTTGGTGTGGTGAAGGCAGAGAAAACAGTTTGCTACCTAGAGTACTGGGTTCAGGAGGGTGGAAGGGAGTGACTGAGGCCAGGCACAGAAGGCTTTGCAGAAACAGGAATCATGGAGGAGATAAGGAACCAATAATAATGTTACTGCAAATAACTGTTAACATTGACTGAGCACTCACCACGTGCAGGGGCCTGGGCTAAGTTCCCAGCGAGTATTGTTTCATTTAACCTTCGCAGCAGCTCTATGAGGCAGATCATGTGTCCAGTGTCATGCCAAGGAGAAGTGGATGACAGCTGGCCAGGTGTAGGCAAAAAGGGGTGTATTTGTCTATAGGGAATTTAAACACAACAATAAAACCAACTCAAACTCAATCTGCTTTATATTCTCACCATTCTCATCAGCATCAGTGACAAAATACTCTCTCCTGCCAAGGCAGATGGCTCCCATATACTCCCCTCCACAGACGAGGAAACAGAGTAGGCTAATGGGCCAGGTGGGACTGCTAATGCTGGTAGCAGTGCAGGGGAGGGGCTGGAACAGCAGAAGAGGCTGGAGGCCAAGAGACTGATTAGGAAACTTCAAAAATGTAGGAGTTGGGGTAATCGGGCTGGGAAAAAGTCATATTCAAGAGATTATTTTCTTTTTCAATGACATAGAATTGACAGATCTTGGTAAGCAATAGTAAGGGTAAGATGGAGTCTAGGATAATTCTGAATTTTCTACTGTAGGGGACAAGATGGTTGGAGACACTGTTCCACCAATTAGCGGAGTTGGGAAGAGAGCAGACTTAGCATTTAAAGTCTGAAACACGTGGTCGAGGTGCCCATGGGAACTCCAAGGGGAGGAGCGTGGTGAGCTGCAGGGTTTCAAGTGGGGATTGTCAGAGGTGGGTGCTGGCTCCGATCTCCTTGGCTACAGCTCAAATCTCCTGACTCCCTACTTGAACCCCAGAGCTGATCACCTCTTTCTGAGCTCTCTGCACCCCTGGTTGAGAAACCACTCAGATTAATATTTCACCCTTGGTGTTAAGTTAGCACTGGCTTATGAGCATAAGAGGCAACTTTCAAAATATTTAACAACTCACATGGCATGGGGATGAAGCAATCAGAACAGACGTCTGTCTTCTCAGTGAAGCAGGGCCTAAGGCCCTTTTTTGTAGAGATACAAAAGACAGTGAAGGATATTACAATAATAAAAGCCACAAAAGAGCATCCAGAATGTATAATTAATGCCTGTATATTAATAAGAAAAAAACTCCAATAGAAAAAAATTAGCAAAAGACACAAAAATTCCTTTCATAAAAGAGGCTACAAGCATGTCCTAAAAATATAAGAAAAGATGTTAAACTTCATTAGTAGTGTCTGGAAGTTGGGAAGGTCTGGGTCTGTTGAGGGGGAGAGGTCAGGATCACCAGGGTGCTGGTGGGGAAGTCAGGGGTTCCTTTGTGGAAATATTTCAATATTTTAGTAATTAGTACAGCCATGCTATTGTGTACAACTAAATGTCAGCCCTGAATATCTAACTTACTGAGTGCATGTTGACACATCTAACTCTAGCTCTCAGTCGTGAAGAGTTGGGAAATCTATCTTTTAAATAAAGGAACCAAGTAATGATGCAGCACGTCTATATACTAACAATAACGAGTTACAAGAGAGAATTTTTAAAAAAATAAATCATTTACAAAAAATGGAAACATAGGGATAAATCTGACAAAAGATGTACAGACCTTTAGATGAAAAGTAATACAATTTAACGGAAAGACATTAAAGAAGTTCTAAATAAGTGGGAGAGACATACCATGTTCAGTTATGGAAAGATTTCATGTCACAAAGATGTGAATTCTTTATAGAGTAATTGCCAGATTCAATAATAGAATTTAAATTAAAATCTGAACGGGGTTTTCCATGGAAATTAACATGGTGATTCTAAAATGTACGTAGAACAATAAATAGTCCAAGAGTAGCTAAGGTATCCCAGAAGAAGAAAGAAAAAGAGAGGAAGGCACAGGAGGATTAGAAGGAGGAGGGGGGCTTCCCTGGTGGCGCAGTGGTTGGGAGTCCGCCTGCCGATGCAGGGCACACGGGTTCGTGCCCCGGTCCGGGAAGATCCCACAGGCCGCGGAGCGGCTGGGCCCGTGAGCCGTGGCCGCTGAGCCTGCGCGTCCGGAGCCTGTGCTCCGCAACGGGAGAGGCCACGACAGTGAGAGGCCCGCGTAACA